ACATCGTTTTACCTGAGGCTTCCTCACGAAAATGATGAAAATGTAGCTGCGGCCTAGGCGCGGGGGGGGGGGCGTGCACCAGGGGGCCCAACAATAATTATTCTTTAGAATTAATAATGTTCAACAACAACAACAACAATCAGTTTAAGATTGTTCGCCCTTATCTGCTCGAGTGTCCAATAACGCGTATTTCCCAAACCCTCGATACCCGCCCTCTTCGTCTTCGATCGAACCCTTTTTGTGGGGTATACCTTTCTTCCCTGCAGGCCGGGCCCCGGCAAGCGGCGGGGCGGCCGCGGACCGTCGGCCTGGCCAGCGGCAACGCTGATCGGCGGGGCGGCCGCGGACCGTCGACCCGACCCCAAGAGGGACGGACAGGGGACCGACCACGACGACGACGACGACGACGTCGACGACGACGGCCGGCGACGACGACGACGACGGCGACGACGACGACGAGCGAAAGCGAGAGCGAGAGAGAACGACAGCAGGGCCACAAGGACACGAAGTAGGCCACGAAGGGCGACAGCGGGGACACGAAGGGAATGCTTATGGGGCCACGACGAGCGCGAACCAGCGGGGGCCACGAAGGGCATACTTATACTGGGCCGCGGAGGGCAAGGACGGGGCCACTGAGGGCAGCAACGGGGCCACGAAGGGCAGCGAGGGGGCCACGAAGGGCAACAGCGGGGCCACGAAGGGCGGGAAGGGGGCCACGAAGGGCGACAACGGGGCCACGAAGGGCATGCGCATGGGGCCACGACGGGCGCGAACGATCGGGGGCCACGAAGGGCAGATCATGCGGGGCCACAGAAGGCAACGACGGGGCCACTGAAGGTAGCAACTGGGCAACGTAGGACAGTGAGGGGGCCACAAACGGCGACAGCGGGGCCACGAAGGGCATGCCAATGGGACCACAACGGGCGCGAACGAACGGGGGCCACGAAGGGCAAACGTATACTGGGCCGCGGAGGGCAAGGACGGGGCCACTGAGGGCAGCAACGGGGCCACGAAGGGCAGCGAGGGGGCCACGAAGGGCGACAGCGGGGCCACGAAGGGCATGCATATGGGGCCACCACGGGCGAGAACGAGCGGGGGCCAAGAAGGGCATACACATATGGGGCCACGAAAAGCAGCGAGGGGGCCACGAAGGGCAGCGAGGGGGCCGCGGAGGGCTGCAACGGGGCCACGAAGGGCTGCGACGGGGCCACGAAGGGCAGCGAGGGGGCCACGAAGGGCTACAACGGGGCCGCGAAGGGCAGCGAGGAGGCCACGAGGGGCTGCAACGGGGCCGCGAAGTGCAGCGAGGGGGCCACGAAGGTCTGCAACGGGGCCACGAAACAAAGCGAGGGGGCCACGAAGGGCTGCAACGGGGCCACGAAGGGCAGCGAGATCCCGATTCTTAGGTCATCTGTGAGGGGGTCCTAAACTTGAGCGCGACTCCTGGGTGCCTGGGTGTCGGGAGCGCGGCGCTTGAGCAAATTGCAAGAATTTCCAACGCAAGGACGCTATTCTTCAGTAAATTGCAAGCAAGTCTCCAGCGAGAGCGCGACTCCAGAGCGCCGGGAGAGCGATTTCTGAATAAATTGTAAGAAAGTCCCAAACGAGAGCGCGATCCCTGAATAAAATGCAAGGAAGTCTCGGGCGAGAGCGGGGGTCCTGGCTAAATTGTAAGGAAACCTCAGGCGGGAGCCGTTGTTGTTGAAACCCGGGGGCCAACGACACAGTTTGACGCTCAAGACTTCCTTGATAAAAAACAGGGTGCGGGCCCCGGGAAGGGCATTTCAATCGAGAACGAACAATGTGCACCGGACGGGGGGGATCAACAATAATTATTCTTCAGAAATGAGAGTTCAACAACAACGACATCAACAACAACAACAACAACAACAACAACAACAACAACAACAACCACAACCACAACAACAACGACAACGACAACGACAACGACAACGACAACGACAACGACAACAATCATTTAAGACTGGGGACACTCCGTTCTCACCAGTGCCAGGGTTTTCATAGGAGGCGGGCAATACCCCAACAACAATTTGTGGGGACACTCCGTTCTCACCAGGCCAGGGTTTTCATAGGAGGCGGGCAATACCCCCACTTTGTGGGGGGGCCGGTTCAAGCTCTACCAATTTCCAAACGACTCTTCGCCACCACCCACACCCAGCTTCCCGCCCTATGACGTTCGGACACTTCACTTCGTGGCATGCGGACGACCGTGGCTACTATTCAGGGCCCCGCGGCCGACGACGACGGCGTGCGCGCGCGAAGAAAAAACGAATGTGTCCCGCATGGTATTATTTGACAGGGATGATGGCCCTGGCAGGTGCGCAACCGTTGTCGCAGAAGTTCGAAAAAGTTGCTCGCAAAAGCCCGTTTGACAGAAATGTTTAAAAAGTGTTGGTTTTCCTACGAATCCGCAAGAGCGCGCGGGATGAGATTTTGACATTTTTTTGTTGAAAAACCATTGGTTTTTTGATGTTTTTAT